AAGTTGCATTTGCACTACTGTCTTCTTAAAAAATACAGTATAGCGACTATTTAGATAGCACATTTTAGAAGTTATTACTTAAGGCCTAGGGCTTGAGCAATGGCTCAGCAGTTAAGAGTACTTCCAGTTCCTGAAGAAAAATATTCTGGTTTGATTCCCAATACCCACATAAGCGTTCATAACTCCAGTTTCAGGAGCATTAATGGTCTCTTTTGACATCTTTGGGGGTACACCTACATATTTACTGTCATGACACCTATGTACAGAACATAAAATAAATAAGTCTTAAGGTCAATTAAATATATGGAGTGGTATCTATAGGTTGCATGTAAGCACACTTTTATTTTATACAAAGGAATTGAGCATTTTGGGGTTTTGGAATTTATGGAAGGTCTTGTTACCATGACCCCACTTTTACTGATGAATGATTCTATTGGGCTTACAAAAGCAGGGAGACTCAGGAAGCAGGATTAACAGTTTTTTTTTTCAAGTAGGAAATATGTGGTTATTTGTCACTAGATAAGATGGTGTACATTGTACAGTGTAGATAAACTTACTGTGGACTGTTATTTTTTATGTCTTATTTCTCAATTGCATTTTGACATGAATAAAGGGGCCCGGCCTGTTTATGGAATGACTGACTCATCATCTCCTCTCCAGGTTCTCATCTGTCATCCTTGTTCTGCGCTGCACATGCTGCAAACATACGTTGAATGCTGCTTGACCTGTGTTGGTTTGTGAGTAGCTGATCCCAGAATTCTTGCAGCTTTTTATTTCTCTATTCTAGATACTGAAGATATTTTAATGAGAGAAGGAATTCAGTAACATATGACAATAAACAGCAATCTAGAAGTGAGTGTTACACATGTTCCAATCACATCTGAGGCTTATTAAAATCATATCATCTAAACTGCATAAGAAATATATGACTTAGTATTGCTCTTTATGTTTGTTTAGTGAATTAGCAGAGACACAAGAATGTGGAGTATTTTGACCAACATATTTACTCAAATTTTAACAGTCAAAACATGATCCAAACAGGCTTACACCAAATTCAGTTCTGAACAATTATCAGAATATGAAGTTTATTCTTTGTAGTGATGGAAAAAGCATTAAGCTTTACATTATCTTTCAGAAATAATTGCATAAAATTATTTTTAGATGATTTCATCTAAGATAGAATTGCATTCTTAGCCTACAGTTTGGCATCCAAAGAACACAAGCTTTTAAGTGTTTTTAATGCACTAATGTTCTGGTTGTTATTCTACCATTCTCTGCTCCCAAGCCACCCTCGGTGGTTCAGCCTGTGATATCAGAACACTACTCCTTCAAGATAAGAGAAAATGATGAGCTTTGTGGAGATGGAGAGGGCCCTGGATGGACACAAGAGAGAAATGGCTCCTGGTTTTTGCAGCAAGTCTCCTGAAGGTCCCTGCAGTGTGACTTGGCTACTGTCGCCTGGCAGCTCTCCATGGTATCTCTGCATCCCGGAGGATGACTTCCCCACACAGTGGGTCTCATCAAACCCTTTCCAATCAAGCCTGGCACGTCGGCACTGGGTGAAAGAGTCCTATTATAGATTTTCTTTCCAGTGTACTATACGTTTCATGCTATGGTCAATAGCTGTCAATTTGATGGAGACTAGTGTTATCTGTGGGGGATAATCTTGATTATGTTAATTGATGTGAGAAGATCCATCCTAATTGTGGTAGACACCATTTCCTGGGCCTCTGATCCCGGACTATGTGAAACAGAGAAAGTGAGCGGGACCCTAGAAACCATGCATGCATCACTTTCTGCTTCTTGTCTCTGAATGCACAGCTCCCCCAGGCTCCTGTAGCTGTCACTATCCAGCAGGATGGACTCTAGCCTGAAACTGTGAATCAAAGCAAACCCCTCTTCCCTTCGTTTTGTGGGTGCATTTTTTTTAAAATTTTATTTTTCTTATTAGTTACATTTTGTTAAATCTGTGTCCCAGCTGTATCCCGCTCCCTCATTTCCTCCCCAACCCCACACTCCCTCCCTGGTCTCCTCCCTGCCCCTTTCCAAGTCCACTGATAGGGGAGGACCTCCTCCCCTTTCATTTGACCCTGTTTTATCAGGTATCTTCGGGGATGGCTGCAAAGTCCTCCTCTGTGGCCTAACAGGACTGCTCCTCTTCTGGGAGGGTGGGGAGGTCAAAGAGCCTGCCCTTGAGATCCTGTTAAAAATAGTCCTTGTTCCCCTTACTTTGGAAAACTACTTGGTTACTGAGCTACCACAGGCCACATCCGAGCAAAAGTTCTAGGTTATATTCATAGATGGTCCTTGGTTGTGGGTGCATTTTATCACAGCACCAGGAAAGAAAACTACATTACTCTTAGAGGCAGTGGCTTCTTCCTGTGCTTGGTATTTCTAGGTCTCTTATTCCTTTATAGCCAACCCCTCAGTTCTCCCAATTACTACTAGAGTAGACTTAAATAAAACTTTTGATTTTTGCCCCTTAGGTTGAAAAAAAAAAAAAGCTACATGCAATGACACTTAGTGGCTATATTTGTGATTGTTCTGGTCTTAAATATTCTAACTTTCAATTATTTTCATTTATAAGCTTGAAATAATAGTACCTAACTCAAAGACTACGATACAATTACAAAGTGTTTGGGAAAGTTACAGATGAGAAATAAAAGAAAATATGGTGGAAGCTGTGGTTTCAGACAGTGGTGCTTCATTGCATTTCTCACCGAGGTGTTTATGCTGAATTTTGTAAAGGTATTTTCACATTTTAAGAAATGAAATCACATAAAATTTTATGTAAGAAGTGAGAAATAGTAAGAGCTGGAGGGGACGGGAACTCCACAAGAAGAGCAACAGAACAAGATAACTTGAACACAGGGAACTTCCCAGAGACTCATACTCTAACTAAGGACTATTCGTGGAGATAATCTAGAACCCCTGCACAGATGTAGCCCATGGCAGTTCAGTGTACAATTGGGTTACATAGTAATGGGAAGAGGGACTGCCTCTGACATAATCTGATTGGCCTGCTCATTGATCACCTCCCCCTGAGGGGGGAGCAGCCTTACCAGGCCACAGTAGAGGACAATGCAGCCACTTCTGATGAGAACTGATAGACTAAGATCAGAAAGGAGAGGAGAACCTCCCATATCAGTGGACTTGGGGAGTGGCATGCATGCAGAAAGGGGAGGGAGCGTGGGATCGGGAGGGGAGGAGGAAGAGGCTTATGGGGGGATACAAAATGAATAAAGTGTAATTAATAAAAAATTAAAAAAAGAAAAAAAAGAAATGAAATCACATAATTATCTATCATTATTTTGTTATCTTCAAAAGCAATTGGTCAATCCAGGAGGCAAACGCTCTGATACAGCATAAGTAGAGCAGTGTGTGAAAGCATTTCATTTTGGTAAATAATTTGAAATTTATGTATTTTACTTTCAATGAAGAGGAAAAGCTATCATGGGGTTTTGTCCACTCTTAATAATTTCTTCTACAGGACAACCATACTGTAATTCACAGAATGAAGGAGACTAAGTAGCAAGGAGGTCCCAAGGGAAGCCTCCTTGAATCTCACTTAGGTGGGGAGAGAGAATACACAGCAGAAGTGGATGTGGTGAGGGAACTGGGTAGGAGAGGGTATGATGAGGAAAATGGCGTGTGGGAGGGATCAGATGTGTGGTAGTGGGGAGGGGAAGGGAAAGGCCTTGGAGAGAAAAAGAAAACCAAGGGCGGTGGAAGCACTGAGACAACAGGAGTTCTGTGACAGGGTAGGCTCCAGGAATGATTTTGGGATGTCGCTAGCTAAGCCTCCCAGCATCAGCGGACATGGAGCCTGAGGAGGCCACCTTCTAGTCAGGAAGGACTTATAGTGGTGGGAGGGGAACACCAGTCTGCCTACAAAGCCATCTGCCCAACCTTTATCCTGCCTACAAGACATGCAGAGATAAAGAGAGAGACTGACGGAATGTCTAAGCAATTCCTGGCCCAACCTGAGCCCCACCCATGAAAGGAAGACAACCCCTGACACCATTAAGGTGTCTGCTTTGTTTGCAGACAGGAGCCTAATATAATCTTCCTAGGAGAGGCTCCATCCAGCAGCTGACTGAATCAGACACTGAAACTCACAGTTAAGCATTAGGCAGAGCTTGGGGAGTCCTGTGAAAAAGGGGGAGGACCGAAGGTCTCAAGGGGACAAGAACATCACATGAAGGCCAACAAAGTCAACTAACATAGAGCCATGGGGGCTTACAGAGAAGAAAGCACCAGCCAAAGAGCATGCATGGACTGGACATAGTCCCCCTACACATATGTAACTGATGGGCAGTTTGATCTTCTTGTGGGTCTCCTCGTAAGTTGATCAGTTGTTGTAAATAATAATAATAAAAATTATTGTAGGGCTATATGTTTATTATTAGCCTTAAGATTACCACAGAGGTATTATCTAACCTGCTATCACAAATAATAAGACGTGGATACCTGTTAGATTTTATAATTACCTTATTTACCTTGGGCTGGGCAGATCTTTCACCTACACACTGTCTCAATACGCTCACCATCCATCTCCCAGGCCCCATCCAGTGCCATCCACCTTCATCCTCCTCATCTGGTCTACCTTCCATCCATGATCCCTGATACTGCTTGTATTTTTTATCCGGGCCTTTTCATGCAATTATTGGAGTCCCTCATCTTGCTCCATGCTAACCCATCATGCTGTTGTCCCTTCCTTCTTTCTTCCTGGCTGTCTGTCTCCCATGATTCCTCCTGTCCCTGAAGCAAGGGAACCTTAGCCACACCTACCCCATTCTGCCCTGCCCAGGTATAAGCTGTTTAATCAACCAGTCAGGTATAATGACTTAGGCAGGTTTACACAATAAGGATAGGTTTACACAACAATACAGATTTAACCAGATTTTGAGGGATAGCATCAGAAAAAACACCAACAAAGTACTGTGTATGCCATGGACTCTTTTGCCTACTTTCAATCACTTCCCACTAACAAGGCTGACTAGCCTAGCCTCTGGATGAGGGTGAGCTTGGTCCTGATGTGACTTGATGAGCTGGGGTGGGTTGGTGAGGGGGAGCTCACCTTTTCTGAGGAGGAGGGGAAAAGGGAAAAAGGTTGGAAGGGAGGGACAGACAGTAGAAGAGGGAGGAGGCTAAGATTGGGATGTAAAGTGAAAATTAAAAATAAATATAAAAAGAAATTGGTTTAAAAATTATTTTTAACCATTTTTACCAAAATTTATAGCAGATATCAAACTAAAGTGTGTTGCTATGGCTAAGATAAAACTTAGTCTCTCCCTTTTCTCTATCTGTTTCTCTATTTGTTGTTTTGAGAGGGGAAAAAAAGCTGTCTTCCAAAGTAGGCCTGTAGAATTATGTTTCATTACGTGCATAGAGTATGAATTTCCTGTTGACTTTCAGATGAAGGAGCATGCCAGTGAACATAGATGTCCTGTAGAGAATGATGGATTATGCCAAGACACAGGTAAAACATCTGTATTTTATGGACTATGACATAAATAGATCGGGAAATAGGAAAACAAACTATCACATGAATTAATTTCTGAAAATTGAAAGATTGCAAGGTGTGGATCAACACTGCATAAGCAAGAATCCCCGTCTTGTGATGAGTCTCTCTTTTTCAAGGACACTGTGTGGATGGCGTCCATTGTTCTGAATCATTAATGACAATGCTCACTTCTGTGCTTCTAGTGAACCCAATACATTCTGGTGTTATCAATAAAACAATACACTAAATGCTTCCATGTAACATTTGGTTGGTTCCTACTGGAAATCAAGAAAATACTAACTATGGGTACTTTCACATAGAATAGGAAGAAAAAGGAAGGCAAAAAGAGCCCCAAATAAGCCAGGGTGTTTGAATGAAGAAGATGAAAAACAGTCATGGTCATGATCAGTAAGCCTTTAGCTTAGGAGTATCCATTTCCTCATCCATTTTTATGAATTAACAGAAGCCAGTTTCACACTTTGTTTCAGTTTAAGATCAATAACATTTGGAATGTATGCAGTGTGAAAAATCATTGATATGCAATATTCCAATCACTCTTCTCAATATACCTAAGAGAGAGTACTAGCCTTACTACCATCTCAGAAGACATTACAGCCTAATTATTGACATTACTAGTAGCATTTTTAGGCTATATCATTTGTGATGCTTAGAAGAATATTTAAATATGAAAGTTTCATACTAAAATCTGTACTCGTAAAGAAGCTAAGCAAGAAGGAAGACCCTGGTTAAGATGATCAATCCTCATTCAGAAAGGCAAATCAGAAGAGGGAGAAAAGAGGGAACAGGACAGGAGCTGACTGCAGAGGGCCTCTGGAAGACTCTACTTTTTTTCTCCTGTTGGATTGCCATGTCCAACTTTAATAAGAGAGTTTTTGTTTCATTTGATTGCGTTCTATTTTGTGATATGTGGTTGATATAACTTAGAAACCTGCTCTTATGTTGGACAGAAAGAGAGATGATCTAGAGGGGAAGAGAGATGGGGAGGAACTAGAATGAGTGGAGTGAGGGGAACTCTAATCAAGATATACTGTATGAAATAACAATCTATTTTTAAGTTAAAAAGAAAAGAGACTCTTTTCTTATTGAGAAGAGTACACAACTTAATCTTTAAAAAATTGGCACAAGAAATCTTGTAAGAAAATGAAAACGCCAATAATTAATGAACATGTATGAGTTTGGTTATGTGTAGAAAATCCAGGAGAAATATGATGGGATGAACATATGCATTTAGTCACCTGGGTAATGCAGACACAATTAATTCTTTCTATACAACATTAAAAGAGCACACTACATATATCTCAAAAATTTTTCTTTGTTATGCCAGCTGAGCATCTTCATCCCTTTTAGTTTTTTTGGAATAGTTTGTGATAAGACATAAGCCAATTTATCCAGTCACTACCTGAAATGATGGATATACATGCTGTATTAATATGCCTTTAAAAAAATCATAGTGTAGCACATAACCCACACCATTGATCGACATTCCCAGGTACAGGTCTTCTTTTAGTTAAATAAAAGCTGATGTGCAATTGAATGACATTTTGAATGTCAATTAAACTAATGCCCCCAAGAGATTACACTCTTCATTAAAATATATACTTATCTGACCTTCTATTCATTTTCTTTTATAGTTCTTCATCTAAATTGTTCTGTGTAAAATTGGGAAAGGTATTAATTATTTTTTAGGGACCACAAATTAGGGGAGTGGGGGATATCTCTGACATGGACTATGTTATTTCTTTTTGATCACTTCCTCATGATGCACATTTCCTTTTTTTTTTTTTTAAATAATTCTCTATATTGAATACAATTTAAATCCATGGGTACAAGATGTGATATTCTTTTCCGAAAGAGGAACACACCATGACTAAGAGTGGCCAGTGAAGATATTTAAGTAATGTTTCTTAGCACTGCGAAGCAGTGATATAAAAGGTGCTTGATGGTGATGTGTCAATTTATTCCTTGAAAATTATGAAGATTGGTGGCCCTTTCACTGAGAAATAAATTTGTATTTGGTAGTAAATCAGAAACTAGCTAGGAAATAACAACTGAACTATTAGATCAAATAAACTACTAACTGGATAAAATAAATTTTCCTATTCCATTTGACAAGATCTTGACTATTTATTTATTTCTAATTTATTTATTTATATTTTTTTTACAATTTATCCATTTTATATCCTGATTGTAACCCCCTCCCTCATCTCCTCATAGGCCTTCTCTTACCCCCATTTCCTTTCCCTAGTCCACTGAAAGGCGGAGTTCTCCTCCCCTGCTATCTGACCCTAGCTTATCAAGTCTCATAAGGACTGTCTGGATCTTCTTCTTCTGTGGCCTGGCAAGGCTGCTTAATTTTTTTAAAGACAATTTTAAGACCATGGACATGGCTTTCTGTCACAGGTTATATGGAGATGTTTTGCTATTATTCATGCAAGTTCTAAGTACTTCTGCCTAGGACTTCATGTACTCTTCTAATTAAGAGTTCATACACTGTTTCATCAGCTTGGAGAGTCTAAATGAAGAATCATAGGTATGACATGCATGGTTTATTCATAGGAAATTATTTTAGCTTTAAACCCCTATTTATAGATGTAAAATCACATGACTCTTTAAACATTACTCCACAAAGAGGAAAGCTCATGCCCAATAATTAGTATTTTCATGCTTATTGTTGAGTTGTTGTTCTTACCACATATTTCAAAAATGTGATGCTATTTTAACTAGGAACAGGACACTTGTTCAGTACTCAAATATTTATAATTATTTTTAATGTCTAATAGTATTTATGGAATGCCAAATGCTCATAAATTGATTGAGGGGAAAAAGCATTTTAAACAAATATCTGACTTATCTTTGGCAAATAATTTTAAAACTTCAAAGATTTTAAAATTGAGTTTTTAACTCAACATTGCTAATTAGCAAACACATGTAACAAATTTTCCCAAATCTGCATATCTGAAATGCCCAGGGTAAAGGTTGTTTCTACAGCCATAACATCTTTACCCAGAAAGAAAAATAGTCAAAATATTCCTAGCCAATTCTTGAAAATTACTAACATATGTCAGTGTACATTATGATCAATGTAATACTGAGATACAATCTTCTCATTTCACGCAGTTCAATATTCTTCATTTAGTAGCAGAGTATAATTAACCTCAGCCTTAATTATTTCACCTCTAGCTTAAAATCCAGTGCCCACTCTGGCTGTAACTCATTAAGATACATGAATATTTATTGAAATGAGCCATTTAGCTTTAGACATATGGAAGGGTTCCTATTTCTCCCAATTCCTCATTTTTGATGTCACTCCATTAATTTACAGGCTTTATCTAGATTTGGTTTCCTTCTCCTCTTCCTTCTGCTCCTCAAACATCCCTTTTCTTCTTCTTTTCCTCTTCCTCCTCCTCCCCTTTCCTCTTTCTTCTCCTCCTGCTCCTTCACTGGTTCACATGAACATTTCAAGGACTTGTGCACTGTTTCCCAGTCGATATTCCTTTAAAGAGTCCAGGGATAGTGGGATGTTTCATATTCCTCTTCTTTGTGATGCATGCTGCTTGTCACCTGTTTTCTTAAGTGATAAACTGCTCAAGGATACAGTCTTTGTCTTTACATACTTATAATCCCAGTGCTGAGCCAAGGGGCAGGTTCATAGAACACACTCCAGAAATGTTTGCTAAGTTTATGTATATTGCTAGTATTAATATTACTATTACTACTAATATTATTATAATATTACTAATAATATTATTTATCTTTTCATTTCATTTGTTTTCCCCTTTCTTTTCTAGTTTAGGATATACTCTAGGATGCTGTTTTGACCTTGACCCCCAATCCTTTTGTTTCCACCTCCTAAGGCCTGGCTTTGCAAGTGTGTATCACCACATTTGGCCATAATTCTTTAGCAACTGGATTATAGCTACTTTTCTAAAGTGCTGCAGAAAGGCTTTATCTTTCATTTGTTATTCCATTTCTTCTTCAATTTGTGTTTTGTCTGTTTTCAATCCTCTCTTCATCCTTCCTTTCTTTATGTTTGACTTTGCATTTTTGTAATGAGATTTGCAAAAAAAAAAAACAGCAGCAAACTTTGTAGCACTTTCCTAATCTTTCTTTACTAGACCTCTTTTCTGTCTTTTATTTCTTCTCTTAAACTCAGTCTTGCTAGTTTTGCATCATTAATATCTCTCTTTGAATGTCCCCGTGTATATCGACTACACTTGTAGACCTTTGCAGTTGTATTATTTTGAAACACTGCTAGTCACATGAGCAAACCTAGGTATATCTCATGGAGTCATGAATTTACTTTAGGCTGCAGACATCTTGGGTTTCACCTTTGTCCTGACATTCTAATTTCAAAACTCTTATGCAATGCAATTCCCATGTGAGCTTGCCTATAATAACTGTGCTGTGGTTCACACATGTGACTTCCGAGTCTTCAGCCACCTCTCTGATTCTGCCTGAAGCCCTTGCTCTCTGCTGCCCTATATCAGTGGGCTCTCTCTACGGCAGAACTGAACA